GTTATCCTTTAGGATTCAGCAAACTCTTTATTAGTAGTTTGCATAAACTATTAAGGGATGAACATGACCAGCAGATACAAAAAGAAAGAACCCAACTATCGAAGGAAGGAGGCGAAGAACGAAGCAAAGAAAGCTTAGTAGATGATAAGCTTTTGGTGTGTGTTGAGAGTAAAGGTGTGAGGCTGTAGTTATAGGCATGGAGTGAGGTGAATATTGCTCCAAATAAAGTGAACGTTGCACCAAATAAGGTGCATGTTGAACTAGATTAGGAAGTTGAGAAAAATACTCAAGGAGTTAGAGAAAAACCTGATCAGCTTATTTACTAAGTCATATATACGTTGAAGTATAACCAGGTAAGGTAGGTAGAATTTTAGTATGATTCAATCAAGGCTGAAAACTTTTAAAAAAATTTACTAAGTCATATATACGTTGAAGTATAACCAGGTAAGGTAGGTAAAATTTTAGTATGATTCAATCAAGGCTGAAAACTTTTAAAAAAATTAATACCAAAGTACAAAAGTTCACTTGGGCACAGCTCACGTGTATATTCGCGCATAGAGGGGTAATCTGAACTTTCTCAAAGTTTGGCCCAACCTTATATGCACATGAGCCCACTTCGTTTTCCTTACTTGCAACAAGCCTATAGTAAGTTTTCATATATAAGGCTTTCACCTTTTAAGTATCTTGATAATGTGGAATGTTTGAACCTTATGAAATACACTATTTTTCAACATTTTCTTCATTGTAAAGTGTTGTTTAAGCAAAGAGTCTCATGTGTATTAAATATATATAACAGTTAATATAATTAATTTGATCATTTTTAATATGTTGAACAAAATATTTTTATAATTAACAATCATAATGATAATTATTTCTAGATTACTCGTTAGTAACATCGTTGATAAAAAAAAATCTATAACCATAATCATTAATTTTTTAGAAGATGAAGATAATTTGAATTACTTTTTATTTGCATTCCAATTTTTTTGTATTAATTTTTGTTTGCATTTAATATATAAGTATTGATTATTAGATAGAATGTTCAACTATCAACGTCAAGGCATGCAATTCGAGGAAATTTCATGTTAGAAATTCCCAGGACTTTTCATTTTGCAATCACACCTTGAAACTTCGCATTATATATTCCTTTCACATCTTGAATCTCTAGAATGTGGAAAATTTTGCTCAGCAGAATTCATCGAATTACCAAAAACATTGATTGATTTTGCTTTTCATGCTTGATTTTTCAAGATAGCTGAATTTTTCTCTATAATTTGTTCTTCATGCATGCCCTCTCTCTTGATTTCATAATAAAATATTTACTACTTCTTCAAATGCTCCCAAATTATACCATTATTTCATTATCTTGATTGCATTTTTTTAATTGTCTCAAATTAATGTCTCATTTGAAAAGTGAAAGAAAACTCATTCTCATGCACTTACCTTTTTTTAAAAAAAAATCATTCTCCCTTTCCGTTGTTATCAATACAATGACCTGTCCCTATATTGGTGAGGACAACAATGAGCTGAATTGAGAATATGTTCCCTTAATCAGGAGTAAAAAAAATAAAAAAAAATCAAAGTGGATTCCGCTGGGTGCAAGTTTATCAGCGACTACTGGGCTAGCTCTATTTTCTGCTTGTGGTTTCTTCATCTGGAGGAGAAGAAACATTGAAGGTAACCACTAGATTAATCTTGGCTTGGCATGACAAATTAGTGTTATATTGTTACGCCAATCACAGTTACATTTTTTTTTGGAGTGAATCACATTTACATTTTATTACAGAGGATAATGAAAATAGTCAAGAAGTTCAATTCCTTGACTTGGTTGGGCGAAGTATTCGCCATGAGCACTCAAGCAAAAATTTTCGTGAAGAAAAGATGTCAAGATCTCAAGAGTTTCCTTCAATTCAATTGGATATTCTACATGCCGCAACAAATCATTTTTGTGATGAAAATAAGCTCGGAGAGGGTGGATATGGTCCTGTATACAAGGTAATTGTGATTAAAGCTTGATTCATAAATTAATTGTGTAATATGATTAAAGCTTCGTGTGAGTGAACAAAGTATCTTGAGACATTTTTAGTTAAATTGTAGTATATTACATAAATTAATAAATTTTTTTCAAGGAACACTACTAGATGGTAAAGAAATTGCAGTTAAAAGGCTCTCAAGAACTTTTGGCCAAGGGCTGCTTGAGTTCAAGAATGAAGTCATGTTAATTGCCCGATTACAGCATTGAAATTTGGTGAGGCTCTTGGGATGCTGCTTGGAGAAAAATGAGCAGTTGCTGGTGTATGAATTCATGCCCAACAGAAGCCTTGACGTTTTCCGGTTTGGTTTTGATTCTTCAACCTTGAATTTTTAAGTAACAACATTGCCATGTAATGAAAAAGTTAACTAGTCATTGTTTTGCTGTTTTTCCTTTTTTCCCTTTTGGGGCCTTTGTCAGATTCGAGCATGGTTGCACAACTATCTTGGCTAAAACGATTCAGCATTGTAGAAGGAATTGCTCGAAGTATCATGTATTTACACAAAGACTCTTGTCTTAGAATTATTCACAAAGACCTTAAAGCTAGTAATGTTTTACTTGATCAATCCCAAAATTTCAGATTTTGGTATGACAAGAAATTTTTTATGGAGATCAAAATCAACCAAATACAAATAGAGTAGTTGGAACTTAGTAAGTCTACATATTTTTCCCAACTCTTGCCTCTTAAGCTTATCGGGGAATGGACATTTTTATTATTAGTCATTTTGGCCATGAAGTTATTCACATTTATTAAAATTAAATGAGTTTAACTTGTCAACTCTATTCACAAAATTTTATGTTTTTGTCGGTTCTATGAAAGCTATTTTACTTTTAATCCTTTATAACATAAATCAGTCTTTGTGAATGCAATAGTCAAAAATCAGTTATTATGGAAATAACATATGTTTAATGATTAGTAGTTAGAACAAAGCATGTTTTGTTACTGAGGCATCTAGTTAATATTGATTCATAACAGTACAATGTTGAATGTTAATATTTAATATTGATTTCTTTCTTTCTAAAATTTTCTATGGATCATCTAATTCTATCTCTATCCTTTTTCCATTGCTTCTTATGAATTGCAATAGTGGATACATGGCACCTGAATATGCAATGGAAGGACTTTTTCCTATCAAATCTGATGTTTTCAGTTTTGGAGTCCTTTTGCTGGAGATCATAAGTGGAAAAAGAAATAATGGTTTTCATCTGTTAGACAATGGTGAAAGCCTCCTAACTTTTGTAGGTTTTTATCCTTTTTTTCTCTTCAAAGATTAGATGAATCCACCTTATATGCTAATTTTAAGTAACAATTGCGTAGGTGTGGAAACTTTGGTCTAAATGTCCAGGAATGGAGCTAATAGAGCAGCTCCTTGTGCAGTTGTGTGTTGCCGTTAAGGTGCTTAAGCGCATCCATATTGGGCTATTATGCGTGCAAGAAGACCCTACAGATAGACCTAGAATGACATCTGTGATTGTCATGTTGGAAAAGCGAAACCATAACACTTCCTCGACCAACAGTACCTACATTTTCTGTTGAACGTGTTGTTACAGAACCAACTCAACCTACTTCAAATGATAAAATTTGTTCTGCTAATGAGGTTACAATTTCAAATTTGTCGCCTCGATGATTGATTAGTGGGTGCATCTTCCTTTATTTCTTTTCTTTTTTTGTTTTTCACTACCCAAAGAAAACAGAAGGAATCTGCTACAAAGTGGTTACAAGGAAGGACATCTTTCTTTATATCATTACTCTATGGAGACTAGCTTACAACAGTTGAAAAGCTTTTTTGGGTTGAAATGGGCATCCAAGTAATTACCATTTTCAACAAAACAATAGGAGATGCTCTTTCATTTTATCTATTCCTTTTCTTTTAAAAAAAGTTTTACCTATTCTTAATCGTCATAGATCGGCTTACTGCGACCAAGAAATTTACTCTACTGCCTAATCAGATACTGAGCTTTCCTACAGAAAAATCTGAATCGAATGTCGTGAATTTTGCAAAATTTCGTCAGTGCAACAAATTTGTATAAGAGAGTTGACAATTAAAAAAAGAAGATGGACTTGGATCATGGGCTTTCTCTACCCTTCACTAGGTAAATTCTATCAATAAACAAGCGAATATTTAGATGTCCAAAACTACAATAAGATTAAATTAACACGGCCTGTAAGGAGCACTAACTTTCAAACAGAACAAAAAACTTGGACAACGGGCCGGGTGTCCTAATAGTCAGTGTGGGCTGGAAATTAGAACACGAATGACTAATTTGCTTCTGTGAAACGATTAGCGTCTTGAAGTTTAATTAATGTAAAAAACTTGGAGAAATGGGGTTTTTTCTTGCTGAGCGTCTAGAAGTTATGATGGGAGAAATGGAAGTTCTTCTCCACATAATCGTAGAAAAAGTTCTCTGTGTGTTGGGCTCGTTACGATGGGAGGCTGAATGACTCGTTGTATTGACTTTCTCATATTCATTGTCATTGGCCTAAAACAATAATAAATTATGGACAAAAGTAAACAGAAAAGGAAGCCCCAGATTGAGAAATCCATTTCTGTTAAGGTCCGAGTAAAAGAAACAGAACATAATTGTCTACGAGTCCTTCATAACTCTGTTTTTCCTCTCCTTGCTTAGCTTTACCATCGAATTGCAACCAGCTGAAGTCGTTCATAACTGTCCAAACACGGTCACTTTTCCCACAAACGGCACTTACCAAGCCGATCTCAATCACCTGCTCTCCTCTCTTTCTTCCTAGGCCATCCGTGGCTATCGATTCTACAACACAACCTCTGGCAGAAACTCTGACGTGGTCTTGGGGCTGTTTCTCTGCAGGGGCGACGTTTCCAATAGTAGTTGCGGAGAATGTGTCTCCACTGCCACCAAAGATATTACTCAACGTTCTCCTGTTGAAAAAATTGCCGTGATTTGGTATGATATTTGCCTCGTACGTTACTGCAACCAAGCTATGGTTTCCATGGCGGCCTTAACACCTGCAATTGCTATGTGGAACACGCGCAATGTCGCGGACCAAGAGCGTTTCAACCAGTTACTGGCTGATACGATGGATGCTGCAGCAACCATGGCTGTAAGTGCTAGGTCAGATTTCAAATACTTTGCGACCAGAGAGGCGAATATTTCAGGGTTTCAAACACTGTACAGCCTTGTGAAGTGTACACCGAACTTGTCAAGCGGGGACTGTAATGCATGTCTGCGAGGAGCCATAGCGGCTCTGCCCGATTGTCGCAGTGGAAAGCAAGGGGCAAGAGTGCTGAATCCTAGCTGCAACATTAGACAAGAAGTTTCCCCGTTTTATAATAAAACTACAGTTGCGGCTCTGCCACCTCCGTCTGTGCTTACTCCTCCGCCCACAGCAGCTTCAGGTTCAGTCATTCCATCCATAATACTATTTCTTTTACCGTTAAGTTTTGATTTTTTTAATCAAGTTAAAACCCACGGTCAAATTAAATATATTCTTTAGAGGTATAAGGATTTGAATGGAAAAAAGATTTATTTATTTTTCATTGTGACGCGATAGTATAGAGACTTCAATTGATTTCTACTTTCAATTTCTTTTTTTATTTTTGTTATGAATGAAATTTTATGGTTTGAATTTAAGCTATGCATGAGCCCATCTACCTTAGAACATTAAAATCAAAGGGTGGGGTGTTGGTGAAAGCCTCCTAACTTTTGTATGTTTATATCCTCTCTATCTTCAAAGATAAGATGAATCCGCCTTATATGCTAATTTTAAGTAACATTTGTGTTGGCGTGGAAACTTTGGTCTAAAGGTCAAGGAATGGAGCTAATAGATCAGCTCCTTGTGCAGTCATGTATTGCTGCTGAGGTGCTTAAATGCATCCATATTGGGTTATTATGCGTGCAAGAAGACTCGACAGACAGACTTAGAATGACATCTGTGATTGTCTGTTGGAAAATGAGACCATAACACTTCCTCAACTGACAGAACTTGTATTTCTGTTGGACATATTATTACAAAGTCAACTGAACCCACTTCAAATGATGTAATTTGTTTTGTTAACGAGGTTACAATTTTAAATTGTCACCTCGGTGATTGATTAGTGAGTAAAATTTCCTTTATTTCTTCTTTAGTTTTTTTTCACTACCCAAAGAGAGCAGAAAGAATCTACTACTAAGTAATGACAAGGAACAACATCCGCCTTTATGTCACTATTCTATGGACACTAGCTTACGACAGTTACAAAGCTTTTCTGGGTTGACATGGTGGGCTTTCCACAAAAAATCTGAATCTGATGCCATGAATTTTGCACAATTTCATCTGTACAAACAATTTTGTACAAGAGAGTTGCCCACTAAAGAAATAAGAATGGACTTGGATCATGGGCTTTCTCTACCCTTTCACTTTTGCCCAGGGGCACTTGGTAAATCCCTTGAAGCGTATTTTGAGATGCCAAAACTTCAGTGACATTAAATTAACACGGCCTGTAGGGAGCACTAACTTTCAAATGGTGCTTTTTCTTGCATTGGCGTCTAGAAGTTATGATGAGAGAAATGGAATTATCTGCTCCCCACTAATCGTGTGAAATTTCTCTCTGCGTCAGTCTCGTTATGATGATCGGGCTGATTGACTGGTTGTAGTGACTCTGTTCTATTCATTGTAATACTCATTACCTTAGACCAAAGGTCTGACGCAAGGCTAATCAACTAGCCATTGTTTTTTCCGACCCTTACCCAAGATTCCTGAAACCAGACTGGCTTAAAGGGTGGGACCCTTTTGACTTTTTGTACAAAGGGTGTGAACTCTCTGACATCCTGAAAATTCTAACCCCAAAAAGAAGAAAAGAAAAGATTTCTGAACTGTCAAAATCACAAGCCTTTCCAAGCGGCAGCGTGGCTAAACTTTTTTGCTTTGACTTGAAATATGCGGGGAAGGCTGTATTATTGCCAAAGCCTAAGACTAGTGGAGAAGAAAGGAAACAAGAGGCCACGATGACCAATGCCTTCCGTCAAAATCTGCCTTGTGCTTGTGTTTCTCTGCATCTTCAGCTTCACCAGTTTAGCCGACCCAATGTTCCTGTACCACTTCTGTTCCAACGTGACCGCTTTCACTGGAAACAGCGTCTACATAAGCAACACCAATAACCTCTTGACTTATCTCTCCTCCAACGCCACCGGCCATGACGGATTCTACAAGACCACCGCGGGGCAGAACCCTAACATGGTCTATGGTCTCTTTCTCTGCCGTGGGGATGTCCGCCCTAAAATTTGCCAGGACTGCATTAACCTTGCTGCTGCCGGCGTAACTCAACGTTGTCCTAACCAAACTTGGGCTATAATTTGGTATGATCAGTGTATGCTACGTTACTCGAACGAGTCCATCTTTTACTCCATGGCTGAAAGTCCCAAAAAAAATATGCGGTATAATAGTGATGTCACGGAACCAGGGCGCTTTAACCGGCTAGTGGCTGCTCTGATGCAAGACATAGCAACTCGGGCTTCAAATGCTTCAAGGGGGGCTAAAAAGTTTGCGACAAAAGAGGAAAAGTTTAAGGCGTTGCAAACAATTTACAGCCTAGCACAGTGCACACCGGACATTTCCAGAGGGGATTGCTACAGATGCCTTCAGAAAGCTATTGCAGATTTGCCAAATTGTTGCAGTGGAAAAATAGGAGGATTAGCTCTGTACCCTAGCTGTACCGTGCAATACCAAGTTACCCCATTCTATGATAGAAGTAACGAACCTATAGCAGCTCCGCCCCCAGCGCCGCCTGTACCTCCTCTTGTACTTCCTCCACCACCACCAGGTCCGTTTAATAGATCAATATAATATAATTGATGTATCATATACATCGAAAATTGATCGCTTTTCTTTGTCCGATTTCCCTTGCTTTTGTGGGAGCGTTGGATTGGTTTTCTTCCTGCAATTAGTTTGAACTGGAATATCATTGTATTAATTACCATCTCAAGTAACCCTTTAAGGATCGTGAGTCTTTGAATCCGTTTACGAATTTCTAATCAAACTTTTTTGGAAATCTAACGTTGGCCTAAAAGTTCAAAAATTGTTTGCTTAAAATTGAAGGATTGTACTTAGAACAAAAATTTCAGTAGTGAAGGAACAATAACGAGGAGCTATATTCGTTTGATTTTTGTTCTGCTCACGTCTAATTACGTTTGTAGATCTGCAGCATATAGATCCAAAGCTCTGTTCATCTTTTCAAGATGCTAATTCTGAAATCGCACTGTCAAATAACTTGTGAGAAGTCTAACAGGGTCTAATCCTACTTTGCTACTTGTATTCAGCTTTCTTGTAAATATAGGAAATTCCTGTTCCTTTGTTAGACGAGGGGCCAGAGAGTTCTTTCATTTGTTTTCAATGCAAAGAAAACTAATTAAGCATTCTTCTTTGCTCAGGTAAAAGGGGGATATCATCACAGAGAGTAATCAAAATTGTTGTTCCAACAGTTAGCCTCTTGGTTTTCTCCACTTTCTGTGTTCTATGCTGGGAAGCAAGGAAGAAACTAATCGTGCGAAAAATGCAATCTGGTAACCCAAATTGGCCTATAATATGATCAGATAACTCAAACTACATCTTTACATTTTCACTCAAATGATTTGCTGAGCAACCAATGTCTTTCATTATCTATTGCCTGCTGCTGGTTTATATATATACCGTGTAGGTAAAAGTGAAGCTAGGAATATGCAATCTCTGCAATTTGATTTGAGTATAGTTGAAGCTGCCACAGACAAGTTTGCTGAAGTTAACAAGATTGGTGCGGGCGGATTTGGCAGCGTCTATAAGGTGAGAAATGAAGCTTATAATGATTACAGGGTAGAGTTCATTAATTTCACTGCAATTGGTTGGAGAGTTAGAGGGCTCCAAGGTTGACAATTAGAACTAATGAACATGATTATGGTGTTTGATTAGGGTACACTTCCTGATGGACAAGAAATAGCTGTCAAGAGGCTATCAACAAGCTCTGGACAAGGTGATGAAGAGTTCCAAAATGAGGTTGTACTGGTAGCCAAACTGCAGCACCGGAATCTTGTGAAGCTATTTGGATATTGCCTAGACAAAAAGGAGAGGATGCTCATTTATGAATTTGTGCCCAACAAAAGCCTTGACTACTTTATATTTGGTTTGGACCTTTTTCAACGTTTATGCTTTTAGTTTTCAACAAAAAACAAGCATGCAATTCATCTAATTACACTGAAATTTCTATGCATACGGCATCTCTATTACTGAATACAATTGGCCAAAACGATGGCACCTTTAAATTTTAAAAAAATTGTTTACCTTACTTCTCTTGTTCTATTTATAGTAATAGATCATGAAAAATTCTTCATTTTGTATCTGGTTCCTAATCTTCAGATCCTGAAAAACAAAGGCAATTGGATTGGTCCAAACGGTACAAAATAATTAAAGGGATTGCTCGAGGGCTGTTATACCTTCATTCAGATTCACACCTCAAAATCATACACCGTGATCTTAAGGCTAGTAATATTTTATTAGGAGAGGACATGACGCCAAAAATTTCTGATTTTGGCATGGCAAGAATTGTTGGGGAAAATAAAAGTGTAGAATGTACCAAGAGAATTGTCGGCACATAGTAAGTTCATTTCCAAGCCAAGCATATCTCTTTACTTGTTAAAACATGTGCTTTAAGCATTGGTACATTATGTCATCATTTATAAAATTTGACAAAATTACATTTTAACTCAACATTTGCTTCATCATTGTTTCATTGCTAACGATGTTGTATTGTAGTGGTTACATGTCTCCGGAATATGCAATGCATGGCCGATTCTCAGAGAAGTCTGATGTATTTAGTTTTGGTATTTTGATACTAGAAATTATATGTGGCAAAATGAATACAAGCTTTTGTCACTCACAATATACTGAAAACCTTCTAACCTATGTAAGTCCAAGATGAAATTAGTTTTGAGTTTCAAAGTCTTATAAAAGATGCAGTGTGTTGAGAAGTAATTCATGGTTGTTGCAGGTATGGAGACATTGGAAGAATGGGACACCGATAGAATTGATGGATTCAACCTTACAAGATTCTTATGTGAGCAATGAAGTTCTTAGGTGCATTCAGATCGGCCTGTTGTGCGTTCAAGAAGATCCAAGTGCAAGGCCAACAATGGCAAGAGTCGTTCTCATGCTTAGCAGCCCTTCTATTACTTTATCATCACCTCAAAAAACAGCATTCTATTTTGGCACCATAACAGGATGTAAGTTTTCGGAGCAGCAATCTGATCGATCAGCCTCAGTGAACGAGGCATCGATTACTGAACTATTCCCTCGATAACCAAAGTGTGCGAAGCGAACTCTAGGATAATGCATCATGGACATTGTGATACTTAAACATGTATACGTGGTCGAAATCTTTGAAAAAAATTGATATTCAAAGTCTTGATTTATTTAATTCGATGAATCTCGCGGAGTAAAAATGGTTCTCTGCTCCGTTCACTCTGTTGTGTATGTGTTGTTAGGTGATGGTTGATGTGTTGCCTTTTTGGTGGTAGAGGATTCGTTTTTGGAATAAAACTGGAGAGTAAAAAAGTACACTAGCAACATTGTTCCCTTTAGAAAGTATTTGTGTTACACTCTAAACCCTTAAAAAAAAAAATTAGAGTTAACCTTTGAATTTGCCGTGTTTGATACGAAAATTAAATGCTAAACCAAAATTCCATTGAATTCAGAAAAAGAAAGATCAACGGAATTCATAGAGTACTAATTCCACTCGTCAATGGTCAGCTTTACTTTTGCAATCTCTAATTAACCCAAAAAATTATTTTCTCTTCTAATAATCATTGCCTAGGGTTGAGGGATGCCTTAGACCAAAGGTCTCGACGCAATGCTCATAAACTTGCCAATGCCTTTCAGCCAACAACCAAAGATTACTGAAACCAGACGGCCTTAAGGATGTGACTTTTGTCAACGGGGGGTGATGTGATTGGCATCCTGAAGACCTTAAACCCAAGGAGGTAAAAAAGAAACGTAAGGGGTCTTCTCAACTGTTAAAATCTCAACTACTTTCTTCGGAGAAGCGTGGCTAGACATTCTTTCTTTGGCTTGAACTGTACAGAAGACAATATCAGTGCCAAGCCTAAGACAAATGTAGAACAAAGGAAACAAAAACTGATCATGACCTATGCCTTCCATCAAAATCTACCTTGTGCTTGTGCTTCTCTCTGTCTTCAGCTTCACCAGTTTGGCGGACTCAGATTACCTGTACCACTTCTGTTCCAACGTGACCATTTTCGCCGGAAACAGCGTCTACATAACCAATATAAACAACCTCTTCTCTTACCTCACCTCCAACGCCACCGTCCTTGATGGATTCTACAAGACCACCGCGGGGCAGAACCCTAACATGGTCCATGGTCTCTTTCTCTGCCGTGGGGATGTCCTTCCTGAAATCTGCCGGGACTGCATTAAACTTGCTGCTACCGACGTAGCTCAACGTTGTCCTAACCAAACTTGGACTGTAATTTGGTATGATGAGTGTATGCTACGTTACTCGAACCAGTCTATCGCTTACTCCACGCCTGAAAGGCCTAAAGTAAATGTGTGGTATAATAGTGATGCCACGGAACCGGACCGCTTTAACCGGCTAGTGGCAACTCTGATGCAAGACATAGCAACTCGGGCTTCAAATGCTTCATTGGGGGCTAAAAAGTTTGCGACAAAAGAGGC